ATATCAAGGTATAATCACATCATATCCTAAACTATATGGAATCTAATTTCATCATTATCATACTCTTTGGTGAAACATGAATAAGGATTTTCTTTGTATTCCAGGATTTACCATACAGAAAGGATGATGATGTCCAGGGCCGGATGCCTTAAGGGGCCATTGTCTCCCCGTTTTTTTAGCATTACCAGGAAGAATACAAATGATTCTGGTGGACAGACAAACAGTGATACGGATGAGGAGAAAAGAAGATGCTAGAACTTAGGAACATGAAACGATAAAAGCAAGAAATAGTTTGGCAGATAGCAGCAAAAGTATGGTAAATCCAACGATTGATGATTTGGTATTTTTTACAAAACATGAGATGAGATATTATGCGATTTGCAGAGACATGATGTGCTGCATAATTTCTTTGATCTTCGGCTCATCCCAAAGATCCAAAACGCCAAAAAAAATAATGAAAATTAGGTATTTGTACTGGGTTTGTTTTATTGGGTTGTTGGGCTACTTCAATTCATTTAACTTCGTTACTCCTTTTTTTTTTTTGTAAAGTGCTTAGTTTAATAGGTTATTTGAAATTATTTTTATTTATAGGACCTTGTCAAAAGTTTGTTTATTGTTTTCATTTATTTATATCTCATTTGCTTTATTTTAATTTTTTAATGAGATAGTTATTAAAAAAATGAGTTAGTTACTATTGTGATTACTAATTAGAGACATTTTTAAAAGCTAAAATACATTTGTCTGAGGTGGGATTTTTTCAAAAATAAAAGTAAAATAAAATTGTAGCTACACTTGTTAGAGAGGATGGAAGTATGTATGTATGTACGATCTTATTAGAATAGTATTAAGTATAGTTGATAATTGTGTATGTTATGGTTTTATTGGCAGACATTATATGTGATGAACCCTAACAGGTTTAGGGCTTGTGAGTTTCTTATTTGTTTCCATTTATTTGAAGGATAAACGAGATAGATTTCGAGGAAATCCGAACAGATGTCTTGAAAAACCAACAATTCAGCCCTAAATATAAAGGTTTGATACTGATTTTGTATCAAATTCTTTGCAATATTTAGTTGAAAATTTTTAATTTCTCTTGTTTTATGCAGCAATAAATCCCATTCATCAAGTTCCAGCTATAGTTGATGGACGCTTCAAGTTGTTTGAGAGGCTCTTTCTATTTCTTAATTCTTATCTAAAATCCTTACTCCTTATGCTTTTAACATTATATGGATTCATATATATATATATATATATATATATATATATATATATATATATATATATATATATATATATATATATATATATATATATATGAATGCATTGCAAATGGTTTAGATGTTAGATATTCTAGCATAATACTTATCAATTAAGGGGTTTAGGTATCAGAGACTTGATGGAAGTACAAAGGCTGAGGTGAGGCATCAAGCTATAGAGCATTTTAATGCATCTGGAAGTGATAATTTTTATGATTTGATGATGCAAATAGCTATTTTTTGAAGCAGCAATGGTACTATGAAGGAGCACCGGTACCTGAGGTTCAATCGCTAGGTAGACTTGGGCCAGAACTACCAGGTGGATGTAGGTGGGAGTATATTCCTTCAGCAGATTCTGGACAAAGCTACATCATCAACAAAGGATGGGGTGGTCTTGGTATCTGTAAGTAATAAGTATATATATATATATATATATATATATATATATATATATATATATATATATATATATATGCTTCGTTTATTTTATCTTTTATATCACAACTTTATTTTTCCCATTTTACCCTTTTGTTGCTTATGGAAGAAATCAAAACTGATGTAGATAAACTTTTTGTCTCTTATGTAACAGAGCCAAAGGATTTTGTATACTCGTTGGACAACATCCCTCATGACTGGCTTTTCTTGCAATGTGCATCTGTGGTGAGTCATTGCTGATGCTTTATTTTTTGCCCATAGTAGCAACTTAGTTACATTTTTGTTACACATAATAACAATGTACTTACATTTTTTATTTTTTATTTTTTATTTTGTAATTGTAGGTACACCGCGGGGGTGCTGGAACTACAGCTGCTGGACTAAAAGTTGCGGTAATTTTCCTTAACAACTTGTTATTTTATTTTTACCAATAATAGCAATCTGATATTATATGTTGACTTTTTATCTGATATTATATGTTGACTTTCGGTGCCCAACTACAATTGTACCTTTCTTTAGTGACCAACCATTTTGGGGAGAACGAGTTCATAGCAGAGGCGTAGGGCCGTAACCCATACGAGTCGATCAGTTTAACCTCACCAAGTTGGTGATGCAATTAAATTCATGCTAGATCCCAAGGTAACTAACTCCCCTATTGTTTATTTGCTGAATGTAAGAAACATCAATTTTTTTTTTCTATTATAGCATTGTACCTTGAACACTCCACCCAGTTATATTTATCGTAATGAAGATTACTTTGTAATATTTGGAATACATTGCTGTAACTATGTAAAATCTAGAAAGTTGAAAACCAATATGGAAAGAGGAGTACAAAACTTAAAACCTCTTTATATATACATCTATACCTATATAAATTTTCAGATGCAACGGTTATCCGAGATGTTGAAAACCAATCTGGACAGAGGAGTACAAAGACATGAAGATGAATTTAGAAACAGGGGAAATGCCTTTGGATCTAACACTTATCCTGTGAGAAAAGGAAGAAGCTTCTTTGTATGTTATATCTCTACAACAACTATTTCTTGTTTGCTTTTATTTACAACTGCAGCTAACCATGGGTATTTTAATGAGTAACAAGTGATTCTAGATAGTCCCTAAAGTTTCAGAATCTAAATGAGGAAAAGAGAAATATATAGATAGATGTTTGTGTGTTATTTTAATGAGTAAGATATTATTTTTAGTATTATTTTACCTTTAGTTGTGTCTTCTTAACATATGCAAATTGAAGAAATTATTGATCCACAGCAAGTCCATGGAGTGATTGTTATGCTTATAATGTGTTTTTGAATTGTCCTGTAGGTAGTATCTCAGCTTCTCATTAATTTGGTGTCTTATTTTGGTAGGTTGATCCTGCTACATGACCAATAATGATCTCTAGGGTCTGCTAGAAGGATTGGAGATTGCAGTTAACCTATATGGCCAATAATGAACTAGTTCAACTATTATTTGTTGATGACTTTCATCTCTTTCACAATTGATGTAATACATTTGTCTACTATTAGAATGATTATTTGTATGACATTAACTTTTGTTTATGATTTTTTTTCTATTATGAAATATTAAATACAAATTTAATTTGAAAATAAGTAAATCTATAAATAATATTTTTTTTAAACATTTAAAATTATGATACGCAAAAATGTGTGTCATCTTCATTTATGACATGGCCTTTCCTGACAGGGTCTTTCTTAATACGCATTGCGTGTCATTAACACGCGCGTCGTAAGGTTATGACACGCGAATGCATATCCTCTTCCTTTATGACATGGCCTTCCTTGATACGCATTGCGTGTCGTAAACGCACGTCGTAATTGCACGTCGTAAATGAGCGTCGTAAAAGCGTGTCGTCTATAGACGACGTGCAAAAGCGCGTCGTTTCTCTTTATGACAGGGCCTTCCTTGACACGCATTTGTACGTCGTCTGAGCCTTTTATGACGCGCAATGAGCGTCGTAAAAGGCTGTTTTTCTAGTAGTGGGTTAAGCCTGATAGTATGAGCTTAGCATTGTATGCTAGGGCAGTTTCTCGTTATGATAATAGATTTGCTTGAGTAGTTCCTGTGTCCGAATGTTGCTTGATTTGTGCTCTATGGGACTCTGATTGATTGGAGTTAGCCATTAGGTGAATACGTCACGTCACATGTGATCAGAGTTGAATAATCTTAGAGTGTTGGATTTGGCCCTACTGCGCAGCTCTTGTCTGAGTCTAACCGTTGTGGGGACGAGTCTTTTACTCAAAGGATTATCTGAGCCTCGTCACATGAGATGGTATTAAGGTGATGGCTAATTGGCACTACAAGGAGGCCTTCAGCAGCTAAGGACTAGGTTGATTCACAGATATCCCTAGGGTAAGCCTAGGATGAGAGTAGCAGTAGTAGTGACTTGGTGGAGTTGAGGCGGTTCTTGAGGAATGTACGGATGGATGTGAAAAGTAGTATGGGCCCGTACTACTGAAAGCAGAGGATCCATACTTGATTCAAGGAAGGCCCATGCGAGACCAGGAAACCTATAGTAGTAGTGATCCCTGAAGATATATCACTGTTTCTGACGTTTGAATTGATGTGTTTTCAGAATGGTGGCTCTATGCCCTAGACCATCAAGCGGCAGTTCAGGTGCCAGTGAGGGATCAGGATCAGGCTCGTGGGCCGAGCATTTGGATAAGTAGACGAGGGAGTTTTTCTCTTCAGAGATTACTCATATCATACTTGAGTAGGCTCCTATAATCTTTGGTTCAATCAAGGAGGGTATTTTGGAGCTCATGGATGAGAGGTTGAGCACATTCCGTGCTGAGGTGGCGACCATGATGGGGTCGCGCACACTCACTTTCAGGGAATTCAGAGCTTGTGGAGCTGCTGACTATCATGGCGCGCGGGACCCCATTGCGAGTACCAGATGGTTAGCATATTTCGCCAATGCATTTCACACCAGCAGATGTCCCGAAGGGGACAAGGTCAGACTAGCATCCTATCTTCTGAAGGACAGGGCACAAGTTGGTGGGAAGAGATCGAACAAGTCATTGGAGATGACGCCACTCTTGATGCGATGACTTGGGCTGATTTTACTACCAGGTTCGGAGCCGAGTTTGCACCAGTTATTGAGATGCAACAGTTAGCCAGGGAGTTTCAAGATCTTACTCAGACTATAGAGACAATGGCGGAGATTACCACCAAGTTCAGGGAGAGGGATCTTCTTGTTCATTAGTACACAACTGACGAGGAAATGAAGAAGGCTCGTTATCATGACATGTTGCGGAGTGATATCCACTAGTTTGTGAGCTGTTCCAGCTGTAAAACACTGGATGACATGATTGCTAGGGCTCATGAGAGAGATTGATTTAGAGATGGAGAAGAAGAGGAAGCCAGAGGCGGTATCTGGCACTGGGAGTTCGGGCAAAAAGCCCAATGTATCAGATCACAGATCTAGAGGACAATAGGGCCACAGTCGGTGTGGCAAGTGTGGGAAATTGCACGATGGGGCGTGCAAGGCAGGGAGTCCAAGTTGCTACAAGTGTGGCCGGACCGGACATATGAGCAGAGATTCTACAGCAACTACCACCACCACCACAACATCTTATCTGATTTGCTTCCATTGCAATCAGAGGGGACATAAAAAGTCCTAGTGTACCAGTTTGACAATAGCAGTGAAGCTGGTAGCACCTTCCCCTGCAACATTGAGGATTATAGACGGCCGTTAGGGCCGGAGTGAGGTGCTAGTGGCGAAGAGTAGGGCTTTTCAGATGACAGCATAGGAGGCACGAGTGACTTCTGATGTAGTAATGGCTATGTATCTTCCTTTTATCTTTCTATTGTTATGAATTGTTTCTTATGGTTATATGTTTTATATAGGGCCGTTCTTAGTGGACGACATTTCAGCTACAGTCTTGTTTGATCCGGGGGCTACCCGATCATTTGTTTCGCTTGCGCTTAGCAATAGGCTTAGAAGAGCTCCGGGGGAGTTGGATTGTCCACTTGAGTTCGAGATAGTTGATGACAGGATCGTCAGGGTCGCAATAGTGCATAAGGGGTGTTTGCTTCGGTTATTTGATGAGCAGTTTTTGGTAGACCTGGTTCATATTCCTTTGCGAGGGAACAAGCGCATAGTATGCACGGATTGGCTGAGCCCCAATGGGGGCAGTGATTGATTGTGAACTGAAGTTAGTGAGGGTTCGCACTCCCAGAGGGGGAGAGTTAGTGATTCAAGGCGAGAGGCCACAACGCGGACTGATTCTTTGTTTAGCAGCGAGAGCGAGGCATTACTTTCAGCAGGGTTGCGCGGGGTTCGTCACCTATGTATTAGATGCCTGGGAGAAGGGCAAGACGACAATCGAAGATGTGCCAGTAGTGCAAGACTACCTTGACGTATTCCCGAAGGATTTTCCTAGGATACCTCCAGAGACAGGTTGAGTTCAGGATTGACCTGGTTCCTAGTGCGGCTCCGATAGCCAAGGAACCATATTGGTTCGCTCCTCCAGAGATGCATGAGTTGTCTACGCAGTTGCAGGAGCTACTAGACAAGGGTTTTATCAGGCTGAGCAGTTTACCTTGGGGAGCCCCGATCGTGTTTGTGAAGAAGAAAGACGGGTCGCACCGTATGTGCATAGACTACCGGGAGTTGAATAAGGTGATGGTGAATAATCGTTACCCACTTCCAGGATGGACGACCTATTTGATGAGCTTCAGGGAGCGTCTTTGTTCTCAAAGATTGATTTACACTCCGGGTATCATCAGATGCAGGTCAGAGATGCAGATGTGCAGAAGACTGCTTTTAGGATCTGCTATGTTCATTATGAATTTGTGGTGATGCCATTTGGGCTCACTAATGCTCCAGTCGCGTTCATGGATCTCATGAATCGCGTATGCAGACCGATGTTGGATCGATTTGTGATAGTGTTTATCAACGACGTCTTGGTCTATTCCAAGACTCAGGAGCATCACAAGGAGCACCAGATAGAGGTGCTAGAGACCTTGAGGAGGGAGAGACTTTTTGCAAAGTTCTCCAAGTGTGAGTTCTAGTTGCGCGAAGTGCAATTTCTTACGCACCTCATTAACCAGAAGGGTATACTAGTAGATCCGGCCAAGATAGAGGCTGTGATGCAGTGGGAGGTCGATAGGTCTCCATTTGAGATTCAGAGCTTCCTAGGTTTCGCAAGATACTACCGAAGATTCATTCAGGATTTCTCCAAGATAGAATTTCCGCTCAGCTGACTAACTAGGAAGTTAGTAGTGTTCCTCTTAGGGCTTCAGCAACAGGAAACATTTGAGACCCTCAGACAGCGTTTGTGTGAGGCACCGATTCTTACCCTGCCAGATGGAGTGGATGAGTTTGTAGTCTATTGTCACACTTCTATCACATGGATGGGAGCAGTGTTGATGTAGCGAGGGCATGTGATAGTGTATGCCTCCAGACAGTTGAAGCCTCACGTGGCTAACTATCCGACGCACGATTTAGAGCTGGAGGCGGTGGTGTTTGCCCTTAAGATTTGGAGACATTACCTCTATGGGGT